ATCGTGGGCAAGTCATTTGCCATGCTGACCTTCTCGCCCTTGTTCATGAAAGGGAAATGCTATTCTCCAAGAATCTCATTCAGGGGCTGGAGTGATAGCACAGCAGGTAGGGCGAACACAGGTTCGATTCCTAGCATCTCATACGGTCCCCTGAGCACCGCCAGGAGTGATTCCTGAGTGCAAAGCCAGGAGTAACTCCTGAGCATGGCCAGGTATGACCCAAAAAGAAAAAAAAAAAACCCTCATTTCATGACAGGGCATAAAAGCTCCCTGCTAAGTGCTCGGCCAGAAGACAAGCCGCCATCTCCCTCTTCTTCCTGTGTCCTTTCTGTCTCCCATTGTAGGTCATCCTGGAGGCCTGGGTGAAGGGCGTGAACCCCAAAGGCAACTCCACCAACCCCAGCAACTGGGACTTCGGCAGCAGCTTCTTCTTCGCAGGCACTGTGGTCACCACCATAGGTGAGAAGGGGCCCCCCCAAGCTCCTTTCCTAGGCCGTGTCCCCCAATAGCAGAGACCAGGGTGAGAAAGTGGTTCGACTATGTGATAGTTCCAAGGAATTTGGGTAGAGAAGTGGGATAGTGAAGTTGGAAAGAAAAGAGGCAATGAAGTTTGGGGGGTTGAGCAAGGTGGAGCGGAGGAGCTCGGCTGTGCCTGGAAGCCCATTTGTAGGGATGGGGGTCCTCGGGCCTTTGAGTAGCATCTCCTGGCCTCCCTGGTGCAGAGCTGTCCTACATGTATCATCCTCTAGCATCGGTACCTGCCCACGGACCACACACACTCCTGCTGCCAGGAAATCTCTGAGAGGTTCCAGGGACTTGGAGGGATCATCGTTTGCACGGACAGGAACTGTGTACCCATCTGTGGGGAATTCTCAAGGGTTTTGAGATTACAGGTCACTGCCAGTGTCTGCAGAATCCCCCAGTCAGAAAACATGGGTGACCACCTGCAAGGAAGCTCTAGACCCTGAAGAAGCAAGCAGTCCAATGCCGCACACCTTCCTTGAACTCAAGCAGCATGCAAGTCAGACAAAAGAGGGTGAGGGTGGGGCTTCAACTTGGATCAGCCGGCAGAAATAAAAACTAAAGTTGGATCAGACCCAAGTTCAATGCTCGAGGAGTTTCCGATCCAATAGAGAGGAGTAAGATAAGCACACTCACAACAAAGCAGATCTTGCATCAGATAGGAAGAGCACTAAGGACTGTGGGGAATCACACCTCCTTGACAGGAAGAGGGTGCAGTCAGGAGACTTCCTGGAGGCGGTGCCATCTGAAATGGGCCCTTAAAGACCTCCTCTGAGGCGCATCTTCTTGTGAGCAGAGGTCATTCTAGCTTGAGAATTCATAAAAGCTGCTCTCCCCAGAAGTGGTGGAAGACCAACCTCTGTTAGAGAGTGGGGGTTGGGAGGCCCCTAGGAGCTCTTCCTCCCCATCCTTGTCTGTGTGCTCACCTCACAGGATACGGGAACCTGGCACCCAGCACAGAGGCAGGCCAGGTCTTCTGTGTCTTCTATGCTCTGGTGGGCATCCCACTCAACGTGATCTTCCTCAACCACCTGGGGACCGGGCTGCGTGCCCATCTGGTCACCTTCCAGAGGTGGGAGGACCAGCCCAGGCGCTCTCAGGTAGGGATGGCCACGCCGAGTCCTCCGGCAGCTGACACTGCCATAGGGGTGTGTGTGTGGCGGGGGGGGGGTGGTGGGAGACAGTCCTGGAATAAGGGATTGAGCAGAGGACACGGGTGGATGCAGGAAAAGCCGGCATGGGCAGCTCCTCCAGGAGTTCGGGGCCTCACTCACCTTCCCTAGGCTGGTTGGGCCTTTAAGTCTCTACTCCAATCTGGCTGACCTTTGGCACTTCTCTACAGCTGTAAGAAAGCCTAAAGGATCAACTCTTAATGGGGCCACATGGGCTTCTTGGGGGGCCATCTCTGTGTCCATCTTGAAGTTCCATCACGCTTGCTTCACACAAGCCCACCCTCATTGACCACTGAGTCCCTTAAAGATGCTTATGCAAAAAGGGTGGAGGAATCTGCTCAGGCCCCCATCTGAGGCCCTAGGATCTGTTTAAGGGTGATTGCCCAAGCCTCAGGGCTGGAGTGATAACATGGCAGGTAGGGTGTTTGCCTTGCACGCAGCGACCCAGGTTCGATTCCTCCACCCCTCTCAGAGAGCCTAGCAAGCTACCAAGAGTATCCCACCTGCATGGCAAAGCCTGGCAAGCTCCCCATGGCATATTCAAGATGCCAAAAACAGTAACAGCAAGTCTCACAATGGAGACGTCACTGGTGCCCGCTTGAGCAAATCAATGAACAACGGGATGACGGTGCTACAGTGCTACAGTGCCCAAGCCTGAAGGAGTGTCCAAATTCTAATTTAACTAAATTCAGATGAGGCTAAATTTAGGGCAGGATGGTGCACACAGAGATGCCAGCCCCAGCCAGAGGTCTGCATGGCCAGAAAGGGTGGGGGGCGGAGGTTGGGGGCGTCTAACTCAGGCTCAGGTTCAGTCACACTCAGATTGGCCCAGACATCCCCTGGATATACGCCATCCTGGATCTGCTCTCTCCCAGCTCCTGCAGATGCTGGGCCTGGTTCTGTTCCTGGCCCTGGGCACGCTGGCCATCCTCATCTTCCCACCCATGGTCTTCAGTCACGTGGAGGGCTGGAGCTTCAGCGAGGGCTTCTACTTTGCCTTCGTCACCCTCAGCACTATCGGCTTCGGGGACTACGTGGTCGGTGAGGAGGCGGTCAACCCCCTTTCTCGGGATGGGGACCATCATGGTTCAGGGGGTGGGGAGATGTCCATGGGGCAGCGAGGGGGCACTCCTGCCAATCCAAGAGCCCTGGGGTATTCTGGGTGATGAATGGGGTCGGGGCTGGGACCTGACACCCTTCCTTCCGGAACTCTCTGGAGCTGATCTGGGTCTGGAAGGACTGTCAGGGCCCTCTGGAGTCTGGGGGTGGTCACCTCCTCAGGCCACTGGCACTTATTACCCCCTTCCCTGCAGGCACGGACCCCAGCAAGCACTATATCCCGATATACCGGAGCCTGGCAGCCATCTGGATCCTCGTGGGGCTGGCCTGGCTGGCGCTGGTCCTTCCGCTGGGTCCCCTGCTTCTGCGCAGATGTGCCCGGCTGGGGCTCATCAGCTGGAGCCTTGGTCTCAAGGAGGGGGGCACCCCCGAGGCCGATGGGCTCCCCAGGCCTAAGAAGGTCCCCATAGCTTCATGAGGTCCCCCCAGAAGCCTCAGGAGCAGCTCCCAGCTTCCCCAACCCCCCTTGGATTTCCTGCCCCACCTCTTCCTCGGCCATCACTCTCCCCTCAGAGTCCTGGCCCAGAGTTCTCTGGAGAAAGCAGACAGGAAAGTAACAGAAGCACAGAGACTGGGTCCCAGACAGTGTGAGGAGCGAGATGTGTGCCTTCCCCCCAGCCCTGCAGGAGGGCTGGCTCAGCCCTCTGCAGCACAGGTTCTGCCTAGCTGAGTTCTATCCCCAGCCCCTCCAGGTCCCCTGAGCACCACCGGGGAGTGACTCCCGAGCACCGAGCCGGGAGTAGCCCCTGAGAACCAGAGAGAAAGAGAGAGCCAGAAAACTTGGAAGCAGCCAGGCTTCATCACGGTGGCAGAATTCCTGTGGCCCTCCCAGGGGCCCTTCTCCAGAGCAGCCAGCGCAGGGGGGCTCAGGCTTGCCTCCCTGGCTCTGTGCACGCGGTGTATTTTCCGGGTGCCCACTCTGTGCCAAGCGAGCTCCGGGCTTCCACACGCACCAAATTGAGCTGCGGAATTAGGCTGCAGAGAAGCAGCACCACCCATGACCCCGTCTGCTGAGGCAGGACAAGGGCTCAGGGCAGTGCCTGGCCTGGAGGGGGGAGGAGAGGCTTTGGGGCAGCCCCATGCAAACGGGGTACCTGCCCCAGGAAGCTGGCAGCCTTCTAGTGCCTCTCCTCCCTCCCTGACCCCACTCCCCTCACCCAGACACCAACAGCTGCTTGTAAACACAGTGTGTGAGTTCTTAGTTGCCCCATCACGTTTTCTTTTTCTTTTTCTCTTTATAATTTTCTTTGGTTTGGGGGCCACATTCAGTGGTGTCGGGCCTTACTCCTGGCTCTGCGCCCAGGGACCACTCCTGGCGGGCTCGGGGGACCATATGTGGTGCCGGAGATCGAACCTGGGTTGGTCAGGTGCAGGACAGATGCTCTCCCCGCTGTCCGATCATCCTGGTCCCACCCATCCTCTTCTGTTAATACAGCCCCTTGGTCCACAGCATCATTCCTCCACAGAGTCTTTGAGTACCCTGTGGGAAACTGAAGTGCCAGCAGATGGCAGATGATTTCCAGGACATCAGCTCTGTAGAGGCTTGGGGTCCCTTGGGGGGTCTCTCTGCAGCCCCATCTCCTGTCAGATTCGGGCATCCCAGGTCAGAGTGTCGGTTGGTGAGGAGCCTCTGTCCGACCTCTCCTGGCCAGAGAATTTGGAGATGGCCCAGTCAAGACCCCAAAGTAGAGAGGGCTCCCAGGGGCATTGGGGGAGGCTCTGCGCAGCCAGACCTCCCCAGTTACACCCCAGGTAAGGGGAGCGGCCTGGGGCCCTGGGGACCCCCCAGACTGTCCCATTCCACGTGTAGCAAGTGTTGGGGAGCCTTTGTAGCCGCAGGAAATGAACTAGCCCACACCTGCCACCCTCAGGCAGGGGCGAGAGGCATGGAGGGGGTCTGGCCAGTCCTTGGCCAGCGTCCCAGGGTCCGGGGACTTGGGCAGGGCCTGAGACAATAAACTTGGCTGCTTTCTCTTCCCGCTGTGCGCTGCCAGCCGCTTTCTCCGACGCCTGCCCACAGGACATGCAGGGGGCTGGGCCTTCCCTCCCGCTGCCCAGGGACGGGGCGGGGCCGCGCCCCACGGCCAGGTCCCTGTGGTCCTGGGATTGGGCGGGCGGGTGCGGTCCCTCCGGAGGAACCTGGGCGGAGGCGGGGCGCTGTCTGGACCGGCCGCGGGGCTCGGGCTCCCGCCGCCGTCCCCTGCCTGGACGCGGCCCTCCTGCCCCAGGATGCTGAGAGGCGCCCCGGGCCGGGCCCGGTGCCACGCGCTGCCCACCACGGTGCTGCTGCTCCTCATCTACTTGGCCTACCTGGCGCTGGGCACCGGCGTCTTCTGGATGCTGGAGGGCCCCGCGGCCAGGAACTCCAGCGACAAGTTCAAGCAAATCCGGAGGGAGCTGCTGCAGGCCTTGCCGTGCCTGGGCGACCCGGCGCTGGACTCGCTCATATGGGTCAGGGACGCGCGGGCAGGGGCCGGGGGGCGTGGGGGAGCGCCTGTTAGACGCGGGCGGGGGCGGGGGGGCGCCTGTCGGACAGGGAAGGGTCTCTGGGCGCCTGTCGGGCGCAGGGGCGGGGCGCCTGTCGGGCAGGGAGGGGGCCGGGGGCGCCTGTCGGTTAGGGAGTGGGGTCTGGGGGCGCCTGTCGGGCAGAAAGGGGGCTTGGGGGTCGGGGGAAGGCCTGAGCCAGGAGCTGGGCAGGGCAGAGGGTCCGTGGGGTCTTGTGCAGGAGCATGGGGAGAGTGGGCGGTGGCCTCCGGATCAGGAGAGGACCCCAGGGAAAGAGCGGCGCGGGGTTGGGGACAGGAACCGGCAGGTCCTGGACCGGGACCCCTTCCTGCCCCCCACCCACATGGAAATCCGCCGATGGAGGTGGAGGGTGGGAGGACGCTGGGCAGCACAGGTGCCCGGAATGGGGGGAAAAGTAGACCCGGGAGAGGGTCTCAGGGTGTCCACACCCAGCTCCAAAAGAAGCGGCCGAGCTACTCGGAGTTTTGGACACGGACACTGGGCGCTGAGCCCAGTTAGAGGCGGAGCCTGGGAAGGACCAAAGGGAACATGGGGGACGGGGTGGGGCAGGGATTGGAGGGTGCTGGGGAACCGCCTGGGGTCCCAAAGAGTTTCAGGCTGGAGAGGAGAGGGGAGGGACGTGTGGGGGGCATAAGGCTGGATGGAGGCCCCCTCAGAGCTGGTCACCACCCACCCCAGCCTCAGCATGCTGGTCTGGGATTTGAGGGGCGTTTATGGCTCGGGCCCTGCTTGCTCCTGCGCCCAGGCTGCAATTCCCAGTCCTGCCTTCCAGACGCTCCCTCCATGAGCAGGCAGGGGGGTCTGGGGTCCAGAGGCCTCCCAGAGTGGTCCTGGGCCGGAAGCAGAGCGGTCTGTATGGGAAGGTCAGGGAAGGGGCTGGGGTGGAGACAGAGTCCCAGAGAGCAGGTCTCACACACACACACACACACACACACACACACACACACACACACGTGCTCCCAGCCCCAGGGGCACTGTGACAATGGGCCTCCTGCAGCCTGTGGAAGACAGTGACTACGGCAGCTGGACCAGGGAGCCCTCAGGCGCACTGCTGTGTACCTAGCACTGTTCCTGCAGGGATGGGGTCGGGTGGCAGAGTCCCCAAGCAGCGTCTCAGCTCCAACTGGACAGACGAATCAATGCTAATGGCTGACATGCCTGAGTCCCATGGGGTCGGAGACCAAGAGGACCATACCCAGTGTCCCATGTGGACACTCCTACACGAGTTCCCTGACCCCATTCCTGGCATTTTAACCTATGTCAACTCACTCCTGCTTGCTTCTCTCCTGGGCATTGTTGCCATCATCCCCGTTATAGAGATAGTGAAACTGAGGCCCAGGGCATGGTCCTGTTAGCCTCACAGGCAGTGTCTCGGTGTGGCCTGTGGAGGGGTGTTTCCCTGGGCATCTCCACGGAGATGCCCTTCTCAGCCAGCACACTCCCCCCACTCCCCATCCCCACCCCCACCCCCCACACACACCTCCTGCTGCTCCAGCCCAGCTGTAATCCCTTCCTCAAGGCTGGGACCAGCTGCCATCCCAGACACTTTCTGGTGGCTTCCTGGAGAGTGTCAATCCCCACACCCCATCCCTGCCCAAGTTCAAGAGCAAATGTTCTTCCTCCTCTCAGCCCTGCGCCCGATCTCCAAACACACACACACACACACACACACGCACGCACGCACGCACGCACGCACACGCACCTGTCGAAACTTTGGGTCAGTGGGCACGTCCACACCCACTACAAGGGGACTCAAAGGCTCCGTCCCTCCTCACACCTGGTGGCCCGAGGCCGGCCCAGCTTTCCAGTTTCTTCTCTGTTCCTCCTGGCCCTCACCAAGGTGTCCACAGTGCTCACTTCGTCTCTCTCTTCTCACTGCCACACAGAGGCCTGACCCTGCGTCCCCCCTGCCCAGTGGTTGCAGGCAGGGGTGAGTAGAACCTGCTGCTCTGCCCAGCATCACTGAGCCTGGGTACTCTCTGCCTCTCAGCTTCCCCGTTCAAGGCACAGCCCCACCCATGCCCTTCGTGCCTCCTGGCCCATCACTCTAGTGAAACGTCCTTCCCTCGGGAGCCATCTGATCCAACCCCAGGGAAGACCCCCCTTCATGATGCTTTCACAGCCCAGCCCATCAGAGCAAACACCTTCCCTTGCAGTTGCCCTAGTACATCACAGAGCAGTCGTGCAGGCAGGAGCGCCGCCATGACCCTGCGCCAGCTACCACTCTGAGTTCACAGCGACTGCCTCCTTCCCTTTCACCAGCCTCTCGGAAGCCCTGGTGGAACTAAAAGGGAGTCGGAAAGTGAAGAATCTGGGTGTAGAGGTGGAGAGATGGTACAGGGAGGAGGCCTTGCACACGGCTGACTAGGGTGTGATCCCCAACACCCTACATGATCTTCTAAGTATACCAGGAGTAATCCCTGAGCACAGAACCAGGAGTAAGTCCCTGAGCACAATTGGGTGTGACCCCAAAACAAAACAACAACAAAAAGAATCTGGTGGTCTCAGAGGACACCAAGATTAGTGGAAATCTGCAGGGACACCTGGAAGGATCCGTGCTTCATATAGACACAGAGGACCTGGGTGAGGAGGGAAGAGCCCTCTCCTTTACTGTGTAGCCCCCACTGTGTAGCGGGGATTATTAGCTAATCGTGTTCCTACTTTACAAATAAGGAAACTGAGGCACAAGGAAGCTGGGTATGGCAGAGGGTAAGCTACACCTGATGGTGCTAAGAGGCTACTCTCTGCGTGTCACTTGGACACACAGAGCCTGCAGTGCTTGGGAGACCAGGAGATTCCGGGGAATGAATCCAGGCTGCACACCAGCCCTCTGAGCTATCTGCAGGGGGCTTCCCAAGCCTGCCCGGAAGTTGAGTGTTTGGCCCATAATCATACAGCCGCAAGCTTTAGTGTGCAAAGCTGCCCTGCTTGCGCTGTGGCAGAGTCCGTCAGGACTGTCTCCATTACGTCCCCGTCATCTTCAGCCCGAGCTGCAGGAATAACTGTGCCCAGGGAGGAAGCAAATGGTGGCGTTCTTCCAGTTCGTGAGAGCCACACTGCACAGTTCTGGGGTACAGAGAGGGGGAGGAACAGTCCCCCTGCTCCCTGCTCCCGGGAGCCCTGGACCAACTGCGACACACCACAGTTGTGAGGGTTTCACTGAATCTGCAGGCTTGTGTATGCATGCATGTATGCATTTGCACATGCCTGTGCATATATGTGCAAATGTATGTGGATGCCTGTGTATAAGCATGTGTGTGTGTCTGTGTTTATGTGCCTTTGCGTACCTGTGTGTGTGTGTGTGTGTGTCTGTGTCTGCATAGGTCTGTGTGCGTGACTGCGTGATTGCCACAGGGTCTAATCGCCCCCCAGAGCTTGGTGGTCACTGCAGCCTCTCCCCCAGGGCATCGTCCAGGAGTACAAAAGAGGGACGCTCGCTCTTGGCAATGCCACCACCAGCATGGGACGCTGGGAGTTCGTGGGCTCCTTCTTCTTCTCCGTGTCCACCATCACCACCATTGGTAAGAGTGGGAGGGGGCAGGGGTGTGTGGAGCTGGGGGCCATGACCTTTCAGGAGCAGAGTCTCGGGGTCCCTGCAGACCAGTCCCACAAGGCTCTGCAGCAGCACCAGCGGTTGGTCTGAGAAGCACGCTCCAGGGGACTTCTCAGGACACAGCTTTGAAGGGCAGAGTGTGGAACTCCCGCTTCCAAAGTCCTGCCCAACGTGGAGCGTGGGGCTACCAACGTGAGGGGTGGCGGTTGAGGGAACACTGGGAAGGAAAGAGGGGCAGATGCTACTGGAATAGACTCACCCTTGCCCCCAGACTCTGGAGAGAGGGGTCATTCCTGGAGGCATCTCCTCAGCCCACCAAGGTCCCCTTGTCCACCTCTCCTTTCATCACACCCTCCTCTGTCACTCACAGAGACTGAGGAGCCAGATTTCTCTCCTGCTTCTCCGGCATGGTCAGGGAGGTGGGGAGGAGGGGTGGAGGGGAGTGGGGCCGTCGTGAAGAAAAGGACAGGAGCAGGACCCGGCTAAGCTGGCCACCCACCGCCCTGCCAGGGGGCCCTGCTGTCTCAGGAGGTACCACCAGGTGGCAGGCCAAGCCCGCTGGTGGCTCGTGCTCCCTCGGGCACCTCTTCGGGAGAACAGCTGTGGCCTCCCAGTCTCTTGGGTCTCTGTGAAACAGCTTTGTGCTTCTCCAGTTCTCCAGGTGTCTGATTCCATGGGGACCACAGTAGCCCCCCCCCCCCCACCGTGAGACAAGCATCCGGGAGCCCCAGGCAACTGTCAGCCCAGGGTGGACAGCCGGTGTCCAGTGAATGCTCTCTCGCAATGCCCTCGCACCCGTGAACTGACCGACAGAGCACACTCACAGGGACCAGACCCACCTCCACACCACCCTCCGGCCTGGACCACCAAACTCAGGGTCCACAGTGTCCTCCCAGCGCTCCCGTTCCTGGCCGAGACTATCCCACCCCTCCACCCCGCCCCACATACACAGTCCTCCCCACAGTCCTCGCCACTCCCTCTTGCCCTGAGGCCGCCCGAGCCAGCTCTGAGGTGGGAAAGGCATACCTCTGATCCCCAAATACACACACACACTCACATGCAAAAACTCACATACACATCTTCACAACGCATGTTCCAACAACAGCCACATGCATCCACACAGACTCGCACATGCATACACATGCACACACGCATATGAACTCACCTGCACATATGTGCCCACACACACAGTATTCACACACATATCCACAGCACATACTCTACACTCATGTGCACACATGCACTTAAGCACTCACACATTTATCTATGCACTCACACAAATGGACACTTTTTCACATCCACACTCACACTCACAAACTCCGGGGTCCTCTGGAAGGCAGAGCGGAGTGCTGTCCCGTGGTCTTCCTGTCCCCTCGGAGGGCAGGACTTCCCACACCCTGAACGAACCGAGGTCTCAAAGAACAAGACCCCTCTTGCGCCTCAGGACAAGCCTGAGCCCACGTGGCTCATGTCGCTAAACTCCGTCCGGCTTGCTTCCTCATCCAACTCCCCTTCACACTGGCTCGATAAACCTGGGTGATCTGGCAGTTCCAGGCGTGGCTGAGCAACCAGCCGCCCTGCCAGGGGAGGCTGATACGCAAGAGTGGGGGCAACTCTGGTAGAGGAACAGGTGCTGGAGAATCCTCTAGCAAGGGGTCTGAATAACGAAGTTGAGTGGGGTCTTAGGGGTGAGGCTGCCCCTCTCTGATCCCGCTCTGAAGCCAAGACGTGAAGAAAATCAGGAGCAAGTTGAAGAAGAAACACTCTCCTGGCAGCAAGTGTCCTGGGGCAGGGTGTGGCCAGTGCATCGGAGGGACATGAGGAGGTCCTGGCTGCTGGAGGAGGCCGAGAAGAGAGTGGGGCTGAGTTCAGAGGTGCTGGGGACTCAATCCACAGAGATTGGGGAGGGTCCCTGAAGGGATGTTTGGCCAGAGCAGAGGGTAGAGCAAAAGAAGTGTTGGGACTCTGCTGAAGTGAGAAGCTCCGTGGTGGATGAGGGCTGGCTGAGAAGGACCAGCGAGAAAAGGCTCCTGGGTGTCAGGCCGAGAGAGTCCTGCCAGGGACAGAGGGTGGGCCGTGGGGGCGTCCCCATCTGGAGCAGGGGACTCAGTGAGGGGCAGGTAGAGAGGTGACTGACAAACAAGCAACTTTTTTTCTGAGTACTGAAGAAGAGGGGGAAAATCTCCTACCTTGGAGGAGGAAACTGGAGGTGGTTAAGACGTGTGTGGCTCCGGGGAGGACCATGGTGTCCCCAGACTCAAAGTCGGGTCGGCCAGCGGGGCCGGTCGGATACCACAGCTGGGAAGCGTTTGTATGCAGCCCACCCAGGTTCGATCCTCAGCATTCCATATGTCCCCCCACCCCTCCCCACCCCTCTAGCACTGCCAGGAGTAATTCCTGAGTGCAAATGCGGGAGTAGTACCCCTGAGCGTCGCAGGGTGTGACCAGAGAAAGAAAAAAAAGTCAAAGTCGGGTCAGCAGCTACAATGTTTCCTTTGTCCGTGCATGCAACAAACATTTATGGCAGCTCGTGCTTGAGGCCTCATTCCCATCCTATCGCACTTCCAGATGCCTTCATTCAGGCGACTGCCCTACCCTCCTTGGGGTGCTGAGGGACCAAGTCCCCTGGGCCCCCTCCAGAGAGGCGAGTGATGATAACAGTGCAGTGCGCGGAGAGTGGGGCGTGGGGGCGTGGAGGGTTCGGGGGTTAGGAGGTGGAATTGGGCCGGGCGCTTGCACTCCCTCGTGTCTCCTTCCACGTGTGCTCACTCAGCACACAGGCAGGGACTCTCTGCTGCCCGTCCTGTGCCAGTTACTGAGAATGGAGAGATGCTAAGTGTACAGCCCGTCCTGCCATGGGGCCTTCGGGTGCTGGAGGCAGGCAGAACAGGAAAACAGGAGGTTCCCTCCCATCCCTGCAGGGTACCGGGAGCAAGGCAGGACTTGATTGGGCCCCTCGAAGTCCCACTCCTGGGAAGCGGGGGGGGGGGGGGGGGGGTGTTCGGACGCACGAGGCACGAGGGAGGCTGTAGGTTCCGTGGGGAGAGAGCTGGGGAAGTAGGAAAACCGCTGGGACTCAGGCAGGGTCCAGGTGACAGAAGGCATCATTGGATTTGCGCTTAATTTATTTTTATTTAATCGGGGGCTGGGGGGCTACTAGCAGAGCTCAGGACTGACTCCTGTCTTGAGCTCAGGGAATCACTCCTTCCTGGCAGCGCTCAGGGAGCCATGAGGGATGTTGGAGATCGAACCTGGGTCAGTTGCATGTAAAGCAAGCACCCAACCCGCTGTACTATCTCTCCAGCCCCCGGTTTATTTTCTAAGTTTGCTTTCTGTTGACTTCTCAAGGGTTCCCAGTATCAGGGACAGTCAGGTGTGACACCTCTGACTGAGTCACGGTCCCCATCCCTGCCATCCAAGTTCAAGGCCATCCCAACAACCCCAAGCCCTCTCTTCCTTCCCACCGTCCCTCCCTTGGGAGTACCATCGTTCTCCCAAGTCTGAAGGTTCATTTTGTTGGTTTTTGCCACGTGTTTGGCTCTGTTCGTTCGCGTTCCACCAGGCATGGCTCTTCAGTCCCCAGCTGTCACTCGGCAAGGTCACCACAAGTTCCACCCACGTTGTCTCTTTTCTCATAACTTCCCGCTGAGTTTATGGATCAGGTTTGCATCTTACAAAGATGAGACAGTGGTGACAAGCGGGAGGGCGTAGCTAGAGGGAAACGAGAAACACCAAGAGGGGATTCAGGACAACAAAACCCTCCCAGGGACACCTCGACCTGCCCCTTCACACATGCACATACACACCCATCACACACATACATGTACACATGCGCACATGCACAATCTAGGTCCTGAGGGCTCCACCTCAGCCCTTCGATCTTAGAGGGACCCTGGGTGTAGAGAACCCGAGACTTCCAAGCCAGTTTCCCTGGGAAAGAGTGGTGACAGAAGCAACCCACCTGCTTTGAGACTCAGCCAGGCGGTGCCAGTAGGGGCGAGCCCAGTAGGGCTGCCTGGCAGAGGGGGCTTCCTGGAGGGGAACCTGGCTCCAGTGGCCCAGAATAATACCCCTGGCGTTGCAGGCCTGAATTTGAAGGCACAGTGGGCCCAGGAGAGGGGGCAGTGACTCGCATACACCCCTATCAAGAGGGAAAAACAGGAGTTCTCATCATCAATGGGCTTGGTCACACACTCCACTGAGCTGCCCAGGATTTGGCTTTTCCCATCCATATAAAATCTGGGGCTGGAGCCCGAGCGACAGTACAGCAGGTGGGACACTTGCCTTGCAAGAGGCAACCAGTGCTCCATCCCCTGCATCACATTTGGTCCCAAGAGCCCCACCAGGAGTAGTGCCTGAGCACAGAGCCTGGAGTAACCCCTGAGCATCACCAGATATGACCCAGAAGCAAAGGCAAACACACCTGAGTCCCCCCACCCACTGGCAAGAGTGACTGTGAGGTTGGGAGTGGACAAATGGTCCCTCGCAGGGCCTGGCAAAGGCCAATGCCAGCTGCTGAGTAGGACGGTCACTCACTCAGTAGCACTTGGCTTACATTTGGTCTCCCCAGTTTTTATACCTGGCACCACCCGGCCTCCCAGCTCCCCAGTACATGGCACAGGAGGCCCCAGGGGGCGGAGGTGGGGGGATGAGCCTGTGGTCCCCACAGTGGGGGCCCTGAGCAGCATCACTCAACCGTCATGGTCCTGGGCTAGGTATGACGAGTGGTCTGGGGGCCTGAGCAGTACAGTACCGCAGAGAGAACAGTACCAACTGCTGCGTCTGGTGGCTGAAGGAGCCCCTGGGCGAGAAGCCCCCCTGAAGTGGCCCCATCTCACCTCAGGCTACGGCAACCTGAGCCCCCACACGATGGCCGCCCGCCTCTTCTGCATCTTCTTCGCTCTTGTGGGGATCCCCCTCAACCTTGTGGTGCTCAACCATCTGGGGCGTCTCATGAAGCGGGGCGTACACGGCTGTGCCCGCAGGCTGGGGAACACCTGGCAGGTGAGGAGGCTGTGGGAGTGCGTGCGTGCCTATGTCCGCATATGAGTGCACGCGCACGTGTGTGTGTGTGTGTGTGTGTGTGTGTGTGTGTAGGGAGGGTTGGAATGGGGGGAGAGGGGGAAATGGGTCACTGCCCGGAATGGGGGTCTTTATTCATAAGGGGCATCTGTGGGAGAAGCGGGGGTAGCCGAGGACAGAAGGGGCCCCTGAGAGCAGGGAAGAGGTGGACAGGTCCCGTGTGCACCCACAGGACCCGGCCAAGGCCCGGTGGTTGGCAGGCTCGGTCGCGCTGGCATCAGGGCTCCTGCTCTTCCTGCTGCTGCCGCCGCTGCTCTTCTCCAGCATGGAGGGCTGGACCTACGTGGAGAGCTTCTACTTCGCCTTCATGACACTCAGCACCGTGGGCTTTGGGGACTACGTGATTGGTGAGTGCCCCAAAGGCAGCACAGGTGGCCACACTCCAGGGCTGCCCAGCCAGTGCTCTGCTCCCCTGGCACCCAGGCCCTCCAGAGAGCCAGGCTGGGCGTGGAGCTTGGCGCCCCAGAGTCCAGAGGCTGCGGTGCCTTCGGCACATTTCCCCTTTGCCATATGACAGGAATAAGGCCACCCAGCTGTAAAGTGACAGTGGAGTTTCGAACCCTTTGCTTCAGGGCGGTCACCCATTCTGGGCATCTTGATAGACCCAGGGCTGAGGGCTGGATGACCTCCTGGTGCTCAGCGGATGTTCTCAGAGCCCACAGAAAGGGGGAGCCCCTGCGCCCCCGCCCCCACGTCCCGGCTGATTCCTCCCCACATCACTCTGGCCCATGGAACTCAGAGCTTCTCACCGCCCTGGGTGCTGTGTCCCAACCTCCCAGGGCTCAGGTCCTGGCAACAGTCTGAACCCTAGAACTGAGTCGCTCACCCCACAGGGGATGGAGGCCCCCCCCCCCCGCCCAGCGTCAGCAGCCCCAGGACAGTGACCACGGCACAGCCCCCGGCGGACATCAGGGGCGCTGCGTCCATGCCCATTCTGGGATATGTGGTCCTCATTCAGGAGGGCCCTCTCGACACCCTCAGAGACAACAACCATCCTGGCACAGCAGAGCGTCTCGGCAAAAGACCTAGCAGATGGGGCTGGCCAAGTTCACTCCGGAGAGAGATGGAGCCCAGAGAGGCCGAGCCTCCCGCTGGGCTGCACAGCTAGGAAGCCAGGGGTCCTGTGTGGGGCGGGTTGGGGTTTGTTTCCATCCTTGGAACTCGGTGCTCAGAGGCCGTGCCGTGCTGGGGATCAGCTCCCAACTGTGCCCCTGTGAGGCATTTCTCTGACCCAAGACACGTCTGGCCCCCACGTTTATTCTCCTTTTGGGGGTCTCAGTGTTCCCCTCTAGAGAGAGCACACTGGCCAGCTGATGGCTGACCCCCTGCAGCCTTCTACCAGTGTGAAAGTCCCTTCTCTACGCTTTCCCTGGGAGGAGGGAGGGTTCAGAGCCTAGGAGGGAGGCCTGGGCAGGTCGTGCCCCTTGGGGAGGAAGTTGGGAAGCCACTGGTGATATGCTCACCTCTGTCCCTTTGACTCTCTGCGCGGCTGTCACTGGCTGGCCATGGTGTCACCTCCCATTAGCACAGTGAACTGTCCCGGGGTGCACAGTCCCTCTCCCTCCCTCTCCTGGGCTCTGAGGACCTTCACATACTAGGAGTGGCATCAGGCCACATGCCCTCGCTTCTCCGCAAATCTCTGGTGCTTTCCCAGTTTGAGGATCAAGTCCAAAGCCCCAGACAAGGTTTGGGGGATGCTGCCTCCCTCTCCACTCTGCGATCCCCCTCTTATCCCGGGAAGTGCCCTTTGACCCCCTCCCCAGTCCAGGGTGGCAGTAGACTGGTCCTGGGCAGCCTCCTTGCCACCAGGATACTTAGAACTCACCCCCAGTGATGGTCGCCAGCAAGGAGCAGGCAGAGAAAGTGGGAACAGGGTCCCCCAGTGAGAGTCTTAGGTGCCCACTTGTCACCAGGGCTCCCAGAATCTGTCTTGCTTGAATGGGGACAGCTGTCACCCCTGGAAGTTTGCTTGGAGCAGTGATGGGCTGGGGGTTGGGAGTTTCCACAAGGATGTCCCCTGTGCAGAGCTGGGCAAAGGAAGGGGCCTCCTCTAGATGGAAGGATGGTCTAGTCCCCCCCCCCCCACACACACACACAGAAGTGAGAACAGTTGAGAGGGTGCTGCTTCTTTGTGAACCCCTCCAGGGGCTCAGGACTCCCAGAGTCCCCTTCCACCCATGCCTCCCCAGTGGGGAGCATATGGTCCTAGCCCATGAGAGGCTTGTCATCCCAGCAGTCCTCTCTACAGTTGCTTGGGTGCCTGCCGGCTGCTCTGAGGTCACAGGGGCTCATCTTGGGTGGGAGTGGGGCGGGAAGCAGGCTATGTGGCAGGCCGCAAGCCCAGGGCATGTCCAGGCTGGAGACTCCAGCCAGAGCCCTTCCTTCCACGGCTGAGATGGCCGAAACCTCCTCCCGGTGGCCTCTGTCTCCCGGCTGATTCTGCAGGGCAGGTCACAGGCCTCTCTCTGGGATATGGACCGGAGAGAGTTCCCAGGCTGGACGAGGTGCAGCCCAGCACCTGTCAGGGGAGCACGGGCGGCCCCCAGCATACCGCACTGAGAGCTCCCCATTCCTGGCTGGAGCCCGGACCCTCTGTCAGCGGCCCCCAGATTCACTCTCCAAAGCACTCAGAGCCAGAGAGTAGAAGGGTGAAGGCACGTGCCCCACACACGATCCCCCCAGGTCTGTCCTCTGAGCACCGGGTGCAGTCCTCAAGGCCCCCCAGTGCTGCTGGAGTGACCCAGTATCCAGAGCGGGACAGGACCTGAGCAACGTCACAGCCTTGGGCCCTTGCACTGAACTACCAGCCCAGTTGGCTGAGAAACTCTGGGAGTGGCCCCCGAGTCTTCTGAGCATTGCTTGGGGAGCATCTCCACAAAAACAAACAAAAGGGTCTTAAATGGGAATCATCGGGACAGGCCACCCCTGGGCCACAGCTACAGGGGGCACTGGCCTCAGCAGCTCCGGCCAGAGGCTCCAGCCGAACCTCTCTAGAATCACAAGGACCTGCTCCTCCCGCTTCAGCCCTGCCAGCTCCCCCACAGCCCCCAATTGAATTAGCAACTCAGCCCAGCGCCTTGCCAGCTGCCAGATCTCCTGCCACTTACCATTTAAGCTTTAAAATAATGAAATCAAGGGGGAGAAGACCCCCCCCCCCACTCTGCTTCCAGGAGCTGCCTGAGCTGAGGGCCAGAGAGTTGGCTTCACTGATCTCATTTGGGAGCACCAGCGGAATTGGGCTAACTCAATCATTTTAATTGAATTCGGCTTTTGCCAGGCGGCGGGGTCGGCTGCAGAGCTGCATGGAGCCTCAGCACCAAGCTGGGGCCTAGGAAGTCGGAGCAGCAAGATTGTCTTGGGACCAGAAGGACAGGATGCAGGCATGGGGGGGGGGGGGGAGGGGACTGAGGGGGCAGAGGGCAGGGGCAGAGAGCGAGGAAAGAGATGGACCTGGAGAAAAGAGCAGGACAAGCCAACTTTGAGGGTTCCCCATCTAGCGAGAGAGGCAAACTGACCCCCAGACACGAATGAAGAAACTAAATTCCAGGACAGGCCCCTGACGTGGCATAGCTAAGTGTCACTGGGTCCCAGCCTGTCCCCTCCCTTTGCCATTCCTTATCCCATCTGCTTATCCACATGGGCACCTGCATCTGAATAAACCAATCACCCATCTAATGGGTCTGGGGCATCTCTTAGGATCTAGGGCCCATTCTTAGCATAGCAGAGGTCTGACCTCGTCACAGATGCCTGTGCTAAAGGCAGACCCCCCAATGGTCTGCATTGTGCTTGTGAGGAAGCCAAGTCCCAGAGAGAGGAGTGGGGACAAAGCTCAGATCCCTGAGTTCCACCCCCAACACCACCAGGAAACAATATCGAGAGCAGATCTGAGGGGATCTGTCTACCTTCAGGGGAGCTGAAGGAAACAGGGAAGTTCTTCCAGGCCAAGAGGAATTGGAAACAAAGAGCCTTCAGAGCTGAGAATTCCACAAAGGTCCCAGGCAGGAAGAATGGGAGAGGGACTTGGGGGAAGAAGGGCCCGGAGCATCACACTGAGGGCAGGACAGTCATGGGGGACACCTAGGGGAACAATTTGGTTTCACTTAAAAATCAGGAAGGCAAAAGCATTTCAAATGCCTCTTTCCTCGATAAGAGCAATCAGACAGAGGAAAGCTGCCAGCAGTAAGAACTGAGGCAGGGGTTGGGGCGATAGTACAGCAGGTATGGCATTTGCCTTGCACGCCGCCAACCGGGGTTCGATTCCCAGCATCCCATATGGTCCCCTGAACACCACCAGTGGTAATTCCTAAGTGCAAAGCCAGGAGTAGCCCCTGTGCATCCCAAAAAGCCAATATATATATATATATATATATATATATATATATATATAATCAGGATGGAACTGGAGAGACAGTGATGGGGTTAAGGCCTTTCCCTCGCACAGGGCTGACCTGGATTCTATTGCCAGCACCAAAACAGTCCCGGAGCAGCACCAAGAGTGATCCCTGAGCACAAAGCCACAGCAAACATAGCCAGAGATGGCCAAAAAACAAAAGAACCGAGACAGGAGACATATGTCAGTTACAACACCTGTTTTTGCTCAAACTCTGGCAAGTTGCCTCCCATCAGATAAACTAAAACAAGAACAAAATCAGTTAGGATGCCTGCATGTGGCCGACCCAAGTTCAATTCTTATGGTTCTTGGAGCCCACCAGGAGTGATCCCTGAGGGCGGAGCCAGGAGTTAGCCCTGGGCACCATCCTTTCTTTTTTTTTTTTTTAAAGAAAAGAATAAAACTATCAACAGGCAAATAATAGAGAATACACCAGAATATTTTAGAGGGTTTGTTAAAACTGAGTTTGTTTCTGATACAGCAGGTTTGAGCGGTCCATGGTCCTGTGTGTTCCTGACAGACTCTGCTGCCCTGGTCCAGGTTACAAGCATTTTGAGAACCAGTAGCTTAGACCTCAGGGTCCCCCAAAAAGACAAGGAGGAAATGTAGTTTGCAGACCCAGGGTGTCCATGAAGGAAGGCTTCCTGGACTCCTCAAAAGTGACCTTTTTTATTTTGAGGAAGAGGAGGGGGGAGGTGTTAGGCCAAACATCCAGCCATGCTGGAGATATTCCTGATTTTGTGCTCAGGTATGAACCCTGGTGGTGCTCAAGGGACCATAAGACCATAAGGTGCTGGGTCTGTGGTGTGAAAGGTCAGTTCCACACCCCTTTCCCCCTGGACTCTGACTTCCCTCTCTGCCAGGGATGGACCCCTCCCGGAAGTACCCGCTGTGGTATAAGAACACTGTGTCTCTGTGGATCCTCTTTGGGATGGCCTGGCTGGCCCTCATCATCCAGCTCATCCTGTCCCTGCTGGAGAGCCCCAGGAGGCCTTGTTCCTGCTACCACCGTGGCGACACCGGGGAGTTCAAGCCCCAAAGCTGGCGGCAGGGGCTGAAGGGGGAGACAGAGCCCCATTCCCCACAGCCAGGCTGCTGTCAGGAGGGGCACCCCGGAGTCCTGCTGCCTCGAGAAGCCTCTGCTCGGGCTGGGTGCCGTGGGAAGAACAGCTGATTGACTCTGGGCTTGCTCCATCTTCTCCAGCCGCTCTGTCCTAGCTATCACCTTGACCGCCAGACTAAAGATGTTTGTTTTCTTTCCTAGAGACTAGATATCGCTGTATGATTACCTTTCCCCCAGTAGGATACACAAGGAAATATCCCGTGTGACTTCTGATTGTGCCGTTCTCAGGGAAGGGTGTGCGGAGTCCGCTTTCCTCCCCAGCTTCCTCGTCTAGCCGGCTACAGTGTGGTTATGGTGGCGGGTGTGCTGGCCGCCACGTTGCACTAGGAGGCAGAGATCATGCAGGAGGGAGGTGACACCATCCGGTAGCCTGATGTTCACAGAGCCGCCCCAACCAAGGTGGACGGGACACCAGCAGCACTCCCTGATGTGAGGGAAATAAACAGATCTCACTTCATACTCGGGTATTTCTGTCATCCACAACCGAACCTAATCCCAACACACTGAAGAGACGGAGGCCGCCTCTGAGACCAGATGTACACGGAGATGCTCACCCAAACTGGGCGAGGGTGGGTTGAGTTGCAGGGCGAGGGTCCCGGGCACTTAGTGCTTGGCATGGCCAGGGTACTTCCAGGCTGGCTGTCTACTCCTGCTGCAAAGTCTCACTCAGGGCTGCTGCTGAGTGGTGTATGGTCATTGTATCAGAGAGGCTTCTGAGTGCCCAGACCCCTCACTCCCACCAGCAGCGGGTGTGCTGGGCTCTAGGCCTGAGTGGGCATATGCTCTTTTTCTTCCCTGCAACATCCTTCAGGGGCCCAGGGAGTTTGGGGGCGGTGGGGGGGGGGGGGGTGATCCTCTCTCCAGACAAACCCTTTAGCCTCAGGGTGTCCTGGACCTGGTCAGGGACAGTCTTTGGGACGAGGGAAAAGGAAGTGCGATTCCACTCCCCTGTTTATGGCGTCTGCTTGCAGCCCTAAGTGGACCAAGGCCAGATCCAGGATCAAACACCGTGATCAAACGCCAGCTCCTGTGTCTACTTCTGGGTCAGGGAAGGAAGGGCATGCTAGGATGCGGAGGGGGGTGCTGCTGAAAGTCTGCAGGGGGCATCGTAACACCCCAGAAAGGGGAGCTAGCAGCTCAAAACTGGGGCCTGGGAGAGGCAGCAGCACCCAGGACCCCTTTCTCATTCATGGCTCTCTCTGGCCAAACTCCCTCTCATCATCTCTCCACACACACCCGGAACTGACTCAGAACCATCTGGCCCAGGAGGGGGCCTGCCTAGGGGGCTAGGGGTGGCAGTGGGCAGTGGGCAGTAGTGTGGTGACGACCTTCTGATTGACCCGATCTTTGCAGCTGTCAGCCCCCAGCCAATGAGACTAGTGACTTCAACTCCAACGTGAGATGTAGAAGGGGTGGTCAAGGAGGGGAGGCGACCCTGGGACCAGCGGTGGTTTGGGGTCAGGGCAGTGGTGAGAAGCTATGGTGGGCGCCCTAGAGAGATGCGGGTGTGGACGGGAGGGACCAGACGACCACAGAGCAGGGGGACAGCGTGGAGGGTGCAGGCCTTGCTCAGGGCCAGCCAGATGCGTCCCCAGGCTCCTGAGCACCGCTGGGTGTGTCTCCCCGCCCAGAAAAGCAGGATGGACACGGGGCTTCTCTCCAGACAGGAGGCAGGGCAATCAGAAACCAGGAGGACCAGGAGCCCGAGGCCATCGGGGGCCCTGGTCTCGCCCTGGCCAGGCACTGATGCACGGCCGGCCCCGGGCTGATGCCAGGGCGCAGGGCCTGGTTCCATGAATCACTGGGATGCTCAGGCAGACCCTTGGCGGGCAGCGTGGGTAGCTCTGGGCGCAGTCAGACCCAACCCCACATGCGGATCCGCACTGGAACAGAACTACCAGGCCCCATTGCAACCAGGGACCATTCCTGCCGATCTGGGCTACCTGCTACCTCCGCTACCTGCTACCCGTGACAGCCTGGGACCTTTCCTGCCACAACCTGGACCCTCATCGCAGACTGGGACCATCCCTTTTGCTCTACACCATGACTATGTCCGGGACCGATCAGGTGCTTGTCACGTGCACTGCTCGAAGTTTCTGAGCCACTGGATGTGACACCATGTGCAGATTTGGGGCTGGATTTGTTCAGTGGGAGATCTGGAATGAATGATTCTGGGGCCTGTAGACTAACTTAACCATTTTGCTCGGGCTTGGTTGGGGGTTTTTCCTTCTGTGTGTGTATGTTTCTTACTTTTCTCTTTGTTAAGGCCACATTGTCTTAGAATATTATATAAGTTTCACCATTATAATTCATCATGATTACCACCAGAAGTCATCCATCGATTCCTTTCATCTCTTTCACCCACCACCAAACCCTCCTAGTACTTTTAAATTGCTGTTTTGAGACGTGGGAGTGAAAGTTTCACTGGAAATTAAGATCAGAAGTCTTTACCACTTCTCCCATGGGTACCAACTACCCCGTGGGTGTCTCGAGTTGTGGCCAGACCTCTTGGGCCAGGCGGGTGTCCGGGAGCCAGGAAACCTCTTCCCTTGACACTTGTGTGAAGGGAACCACTCCACTTTTTTATGCCTCAGTTTCCCCATTTAAAAGATGCTGGCTCTGCGGAATATGTCTTAGAACTTCTGTTCTCCTGGCTCCAGTCCCCATGCTCTTCCCGGGGGGCGACAGCAGTCTCTGGGCCCGCCCATCCTCATCCTGTCCCTTTGGCTTCTGAGAGCTTTATTCTTTCACTCTCTCTCTGCCATGTGCATGTGCACACACACGCACACACACACACACACACCCTGGATGCATTCCTCAGTTGTACACATGCAGGCCCCAGGCCCTTGGGCTCTTTCTTGGTGTCCGGAGCAGGACTGTCCACTCAATATAGAGTCCATGTGGGGTCTCAAAACCTGGTGGTGGTGCCAGAGGACTCCCTTAGCCTGAGGTGTGAGAGCAACAGCTGTGCTGTGACTCTCCCCACCCCACCCCCACCCCCACCCCCACCCCAACCCAATTCCCTGGGGCCCTTACCTCACCAGGTCTCCACCCTGGGCTCCAGGCCCAGAGAGCACTGCCCTGAAGTCAGCTCCTCCACGCCCTCAGCAAGCCACACACAGAGTGGGCCCAGCCCTCCCACCCACCCCCAACACAGCCAGTTAACATGTTCCTTGAGATCCTGGGGAGCCAGCCCAGGTCTCTCAGCCCAAGATTCTCAGCCTCCGTCCCCCATTCTAATTTCAAACGCTCTTCCAGCCCCTCACCCACCCAACCGAAGACCTAGAAGCGCCACCAGAGCGCTGACTCTGCCACGCCACTTATGGTCCTGTAGGGAGCAGAGATGCATGCAGCCCCCACCCCAGCATGTTCCCCAGAGGCATGCAAGCAGAGCTAGGCAGACTCGCTCTCCCCAGCCAGGTGAGGACCCTGCTTGGCCTTGACAAACATTCCAGACTCTTCATCTCCTTTCTGACCAACTTTCCTTCATTTTTCTGCCCTGGTCTCAGGTAGATGGGAGTATTGCTTGCTGACTCTGCAATATTTGAGAAGTCACATGACCTCTCTGAGTCTAGACACTGTCTTTCTAACCCTAAAACAGAAATCTTGATACTAACCTCAGGAATGCTTTGCTGAGTGAGTAATGGATGAGAAATCACCAGATTGTGTCTGGCACATAATTGGACTCAAAAAAATGTTTATTTCTCTCCCTTTTTTCCCTTCTGGAATAAAGCTCTCCCCTCCACCCTCTTTCATCACGAAACCCTTCTTCCTTCCTCCCAGAAGACCTCCTGGATCTGCCTGCCCTTTGGCCTTCAGTGGCATGGGTGGGATAGGAAATGAGGTGGGGAGAGAGGGGGGAAATTGCCCGAGGTCTAGGAGGGGCAGAGATCAACTGCAGATTGAGGATTGGTGTTGCCTGGCAGGGCAGAGCCTGTTCCCTCCCCCTACGCCGCCCCCCCCCCCCCCGCGGGTGCTGGGGGGAAGCGGGGAAGGGGTGCAGGCAGGGAGGGGTAGAATGGACCTTCAGGTTGATTTTGCTCTTGAGTCTCTCTCCCTATTCACTCCCCAAACTTCTCTGGTGACAGAGACTCACCTCATGACCCAATCACCCAGTCTCCTTTACTCTCTGGCTTCTCACTTGATTAGGTCTGAGAGGAAAAGTCATGGGGAAATTGAAAAAAAAAAAAAAAAAGAAGAAGAAGACGACATAGAAGTCAGAGTATTGACCACCCCCCCCAGCACACATGCATACTCCCTGCCCCAGCCCCCGCCCACTATTCCCTCACCACCACAGAACCTGTTTTTTTTTCCTGCCTAGGGAAGAAAATGAGAATCACATTATTATTATTATTCTAAAGGAAGGGGATGCTGTTGAGCAGAGCGTTTGCTTGCATGTGTGACTCTCTAGGTTTGATCCCTGGCACTGTGAAAGTTAGACAGTTCCTTACTAAGGAAGGCACAGCCTCTCCAAGGTAGGAGCGTGACTGGGGTTCTGGTGAGAGCACCCTCCCTTGATCCTTTTAGCAGGATGCTCAGGGCACCCACTGGTGATAGTTCCTGGAGCCTCGCCATGGGAGGACTAGCCCACACTGGGCATGCACTCTCTTAGTTACCCTTTCTCTGTGAGTCTGGAGCTTTCCTACTCCTTGTTGTGTGCTCCCTATAAGAAGTGATTCAGGGGCTGGAGCAATAGCACAGAGGGTAGGGCGTTTGCCTTGCACGTGGTCAACCTAGGTTCGATTCCCAGCATCCTATATGGTCCCCTGAGCACCGCCAGGGGTAATTCCTGAGTGCAGAGCCAGGAGTCACCCCTGAGCATCACTGGGTGTGACCTCCCCCCCCCCAAAAAAAAAGGCAAAAAACAAAAAGAAGTGACCTAAGCACCTGGCTCATCCATCCCTCCACCCTGAGTCACTCTGCAGTCTAGTGGCCGGACGGGCGCTCAAAGCACTAAACCCAGTGTGGAGGTTAGAGAGATAATAGGAAGGAAGGCACGTGCCTTGCAGGTGGCTGCAGTGGCTGTAGCCCGGGTTTGAATCCCCAACATC